CTCAGAAAAAAAAAAAAAAACTGACATGTGTTCTCCCTCATATGTGGATCCTAGAACCAGACTCTGATAAATAAGTATGCAACCAGATATAACTAAGGAACCAGTATAATGGAAAAGAAACAGGGAGATAAAGTAAAAGAAAGAACATGAAAGAGAAGAATAGTCGGAAACAGGCCTTAATGAGGGAGATATGTATAAAAATTGGGTTTAAGAGATGGGGGAGGGAAGGGTATACCAGGAACCTAGGGGATAAAGGGAAAGAAGGAGCTCAAGAGAGGACCATAGGAGAAGGGTATTAGTAAGGGAGAAAGGGGGGAAATGGGGGCACCTTAAGTGGGAAAACCATGATGGAGGGGTGAGACAATGCAAGCAATAAACAATGCCTAGCTAGTTTTATAAACTCAAGGGAACCATATTATTCCTACACCCTACTGACAAATTATACAGAGCAGATCAAGAAATATATGTCTAGGTAAGGTTTATCTGAGAACAACTGGTTTTGCCCAAGATTTATCTACATGACACACTGTAATTAAAAATACCAGACTGGTGGAACTAAACTTCTTGGATGTTTAACAGACATACTTTGTGGCCTATAATAATTTAGTCAAAGGGACATAAAGGACAGTTTTTGCTCCTTGCCCTCCTAGGTCGACTAGTTCCAGGGGATTATGAGCATCTCTCAAAATGTCCTATAATGGTGGGTCACCTGTCCTCTTGATCAAGGAGGCCGAGGAGACCCCACCAGATGGACTTGAAACAGTGTCCCGTCAATAAAGAGGAGGATCAACACAGAGAAATCATTTCCTCCATGCCTCCAAGCGAAGCCAAACATGGTCAAGCAGGACCTTTGACTTATCTTCATATAGGTGAAACTGGTAGAAGAAAGGAGCCAAGGTCTCCTCCCAAGCCCATGTGACCCCTGAGGAACAGATCCTCAAACGACCTTAAGAGTAAAAATAAATCAGTTTATCTGGTCCAACTGTATGGCCTTAAACAACCAAAAGGAAATTATAACCAATGATTAAAGGGGCCAAAATAATTTCATAAGAGTCCATATTTATAGCTAAAGGCTACATAACAAGAAACAATGCCAAAAAGGCGATACCTTCTTTTGGGTGGCCAAAGGGACTCCCTGATAGTAACCCAGCATAGAAGTGGGAAAATGACAGCAGACCCCAATCTTATCCAAAGGAATATTGACAACTGATTACTGCTAGATGAGGAACAGCTGACCCTCCTAAAACAAAGACCTCTATCTAGATAGGCTGAGTAGATTCACCAGAAGGGCAAGTAGTGGGGAATGGCTGGGGGTGTTGACAACACAGCAGACAGTAGCTGGGATATCAGAGTATAAGGGCTCTAGTGGGGGGAAGGGAGACTATGGGAGGATGTTATCTGGGAAGTGGGTGTAAAAAATTAAAATAACAATAACATAATTCTTCAAAGCATAAAAATTTGCTCCTTAATAATTAGTAGAGGTGAAAAACATTACCACTGAAATTTACCTGATGACATCAGATATATAGATTAGAAATGCCTGTGCATCTGTCAATTGTATTGAAAATGAATTTTTCTGTATGAAGCTGTGTATTTTAACAGTAAATTGGAGATCTTTTTTAAAGTTTAAAACCTTATTTAATTTTATGTCATAGGATTTATACTGAGTACAATATTGTATAACTGTATTAATTCAACTGTAAACCTGAAAATTACAGCCAATTTTGAAGGAGATGCATCTTAGCTCTGGAAATTATTATTGAATATGTCAATGCTGTTGTAATGAAATGCTTCTTCTGATTGTGTGGTTATTAAATAAATAATTTAAGTAAAAAAATAGAAAAGTAAAAAAATTTTAAAGCCAGGTCAGGAACTTGTCTTAAACAGAAAGCTGCTTTGAAGAGGCATGAGTGCAACATGCGACATAGCTTTTCACAAGCAAACTATCTTTCCTTTTAGTCTCTTTTTCAGGATGAAGTGTGACACCCGAGTAGAGAACTTGCCTCAGATGACATACTAGATTAGCTAGCTGGTGAAACCCTAGCCGCTCATGCGCACTTAGCCCCACCCGCGAGTTCTCACCCTACAACACGCAGGGACCCCGAGGAGATGTGACCACTGCCCTTGCGACTCAGGGAAACGGCTCTCCGCAGTGGCTGATGAAGGCTGATGACGTGCCCCTCTGCCAATCCGCATGCGAGGGACGGAGCTGAAACCGGGCGTCTCAAAGTCAGTGGGCGGTGGAATCACGTGACCAGAGCCCAGTGCCGGAAGCTACCTATCTGCTTGGGAGTACCCCTGCACCTAAGGCTGCGATGGTGAGTTAGGGCGCATGCGCGGGTAGCACGCCCAGGGTTCTCTCCTTGTCTCCCCCAAGCTCTGTTGCCCACCCCCATGGCCTTAAGGACTGCCCCTCCAGTTTATATTGGGCCTGCGGGGGAATGGAGGATGCGCGGGGCAACGGCGCAGAGGGTGGGCTAGGGCCGTGGGACTCGGTGATCTGCGGTGGTGGTGGTGGGGGGGGTAGCCGGGGCGGGGCGTAAGGCGGCTGGAGGGATTGAGGGGTCTCCTTCGTGGGAGGTGGAAGAGCCCGGGGTCCCAGAGTGACCACGGATGCAGACTCGGGAAGATCGGGGTCGTAGGCCACGCAGAGGGTCTGGAAGGGCAGTCTCCACGCGAGGAGACTCCTGCGGCTCTGCAGGGTTTGGTCAGCATGCTTCTCACTGTTTGCCTCTTCACCCACTAGACTTCTGCACTGACCCAGGGCCTGGAGCGAATCCCTGACCAGCTCGGCTACCTGGTGCTGAGCGAAGGTGCAGTGCTGGCGGTGCGTTCTGGGAAAGGGGTGGCGGGGGAGTGAGACTCACGGCTCCGAAACCCCTTCTAATACTGTCCATTTTCGTCTGATTGTCTCTGTTAAAGTCCTCTGCCTGGTGTACTGCTTGGCATATGGTAAGCTTTCAGTAATTAATGTATGGAATCCTAAGTTGCTTGTTTTATGGTAAGAGGTTTATTACCAAAGGCTGGGGATGTAGCCCAGGCAGTAGAGTGTTTGCCTAGCATTCATGGAGCCCTAGGTTCAGTCCCCAGCACCGCATAAAGCCAGGTGTGGTGGCCACGCTTGTTATCCCAGCACTTGAAAGGTGGAAACAGTGTCGTCCTTGGATACATAGCAAGTTCAAGGCCAGGGTTACGTGAACTCTTACTTCAAAAAGAAGTTCACCAACTTTACCAAAGTTACTAGTTACAGGTTTGTTGATAACTGACCATTGCTAGTATTCCTTTATTTGGTATATCTTTTTAAAGTTATTTTTTAGTATATCAATTTATTTGTGTTGTGTGGCTGTGAGCGTGTGCGTAGCATGGTGCATATGTGAAGGTCATAGGACAACTTGCTAGAGTTTTTTCTCTCCTTCCACCATGAGGGTCCTGGGGGTGGAACTCAGGTCATCTGGCTTGGAGGCAAGCACCTTTACCTATTGAGCCATCTTGTTTGCTCCTGTAATTTGTTTTATGGCAAGACTTTCTTGGAGGCAGGAATTCAGATGAGTTTCAAGGAAGGCTGTGATTGGGTGGAAAAGAATATTCAGGACTGGGAGCTGGGTAGACTTGCTGGAATGTGACAGTGCTTTTCTGAATTGTGACTTTGTGTCAAAAAGAGTTAGGAGGGGCTAGAGAGACGGCATAGTGGTTAAGGGCACAGATTGCTTTTGTAGAGGACCCAGGTTCAGTTCCCAGCACCCACATAGTGACTAACAACTGTCTGTAACTCCAGTTCCAGGGGGTGCAACCCCCTCTTCTGATGTCCGCAGGCATTGTCCCACATGGTTCACTTTACACTCATACAAATAAAATCAAAAAAACTTTCTGAAGAGTTAGGTTTGGGGCTGGAGAGATTGCTCAGTGGTTAAGACCACTGACTGCTCTTGCAGAGGACCCAGGTTCGATTCCCAGCACTCACATGGCAGCTCACAACTGTCTGCAACTCCAGTTCCAGGGGATCTGATGCCTTCTTCTGACCTCCACAGGCATTGCACAACATCGGTGCACTTACACACATGCAGGCAATATACTTATACACATTAAAAATAATAATAAAGAGCTGGAAGGTTTGAGCAGGGAGAAAGCTATGATAAGAATCTGATAGTGGATGTCCTAAGGCTTACTTAAACCTCTTTTTAAAAATTTTTTAGCTGGCTGTGGTGGTGCATGCCCCAGGACTCAGGGGGCAGAGGCAGGTGGATCTCTGTGCTTTCAAGGCCAGCCTGGTTTACATAGTGAGTTTCAGGCCAGCTGGGGCTACAGGGAGACCCTGTGTCAAAAGACCAAAGAAAAAATTATATAGTGTGTTGCCTGCCTGTGTTGTGCAGTGCCCTTGGAGGTCAGAAGGCGGCAATGGATCCTTTGGAACTGTATTACATATGGTTAGTCAGATTATGGGTGCTGGGAATTAAACTTGTGTCCTCTGCAAGAGCAGCCAGAGCTCTTAACTGCTGAGCCATCTTTCCAGCCCCAGCTTGAACTTCTTCTGATCTTGAAGGTTATTTGAAGTGTTTTTGACTAAAAACATGACCCACCAAAATGGTTTGGCAAGACTGTTCCAGGGGAGTAATGTATATAAGACATCTTTGAGTGTGTCCATATGTGGAAGCCAGAGGACACCAGATATCCTGCTCTATCACTCTCCATCTTATTTCTTCCAGGCAGGGTCTCTCACTGAACCTAGGCTGTCAGTCAGCAAACTCCAGCAGTCTTGCGCCCCCCTCCCCTCCAGTGCCAGGGTTCCAGGTGCAAGTGTAGTCACACCTGGCTGGGGATTTGAACTCAGGTCCTCATGATTGCACAGCAAGCACTCTTACCTACTGAGCCCCAAGAAGACATCTTAGAGGTTTTAAAATACATTCCTGAAGGTACTCATCCATAGGACTTTCAAATGGGAAACCTAGAAAAATAATATGATACCTGAACCAATAAGAAATCTAGAAAGGAAGTTAGCCAGGGAGGTGGCCAAGGAGAATTGTGATGGGCTGACTCTAGAGGGTTTGAGGTTGAATGCTACCAGTTATGTACTTTTTTGTATGGGACCTGTTCTAAGGTCTCTCATTGTCTCATGTAATCCTTACAAGCCCATTAAGTAGGTTCTGCTGACCCCAATATACAGATGGGGAAACAGAGCAAAGGGAACTAAACCTAGTAAGGGGCCTGAAGGTTGTCAAAGAGGAAGTTGAAACAGTGACCAGAAAAGAGGAAACCTGAACTCCTGTCACATCACTTGCCCAATGTAAGGAGTAACAGCTTCAAAGACAAAGAGGGTGTTTACTTTATATTCTACAGACAGGGCAGCAAGTGGGGAGGCTGGGAATAAGGTGGACTGGCATTTAGCTCAGTGGAAGAGCATCTGCCTAGAGTTCCTCAGTGAGTGGTAGAGCACTTACTGAACATGTCCAAAGCTCTGGGTTTGACCTCCAGCCTGGATTATCAGTAGAGTTACGAGTGATGCCCTGTCTTTAAGGATGAGAAATAGGAATGGCACAGGGAAGGCAAAATTGTAAGGTTTTCAGTGGGATTTCCCCAAAGCTAGGTGACTTGGGGACATGGGAAAGTACTGGAGACTTTAAATAAAACAGCCAGTGGCCTGTGTCTGGAATTCTCCCAATTCTGTGTTCTGTTTGCCCCTGCCCTCCTCTACCCACAAGCAGTCATCTGGGGACCTTGAGAATGATGAGCAAGCGGCCAGCGCCATCTCAGAGCTGGTCAGCACAGCCTGTGGCTTCCGGCTGCACCATGGCATGAACGTCCCCTTCAAACGCCTGTCTGGTGAGCTCTTATCCCTGGTGGGGGGTTGCCCTAGAGGCTTCTCTGCTCAGTGAGGAATACCTGTCTCCCTCCCAGTGACTTCCAACTCTTCCTGGGGTCCCTGGTTCACCTACTACCTTGTTTGAGATTTCCTAGTGTGAGACCCGAGTGAGTCTGAGAAGGAAAGAACTTCCCGGCCCTTTCTCTGGACTTTCCACCTTCAGCTACAGATTGCTTTGTCTTCCCCCCCCCCCCCCCCCCAGGCCACTGCACCCACTAACTCCATGCTTCCTTCCCTCTCCTGGGTGGGGGAAGGCCTGTTTCCCCTCCAGTGGTCTTTGGAGAACACACACTGTTGGTGACCGTGTCAGGACAGAGGGTGTTTGTGGTGAAGAGGCAGAACCGAGGCCGGGAGCCCATTGACGTCTGAGCCTGTAGAAATGGACTGGGTCTCAGCCTTTGATGAGGAGACATCCATCCTCTACCTTTCTTGGCTTGCTGCTGAACAAGGGGCTTATGCTCACCACCTCCTGACCCCCACCCAAGGAACAGAGGCTTGGAGACACACTATGTTAAGGGGAACTCTGGCAAGGGGACTCCCCGCTTTCCCTCCCTTCTAATAAACACCAGTCCAACCTTCCAAGGCTCAGGATGTGTGTATGGAATGGGTTGAACTTGGACGGGGGGAGGGGGGCTGTTACACCTTGTGCCTGTCCTCTGCCTTCTACGGAGACAGTCACATACCTCAGTCCATAAGTAGGTGTGTAAGACCACCACCTGGCACCATAAAACTGGAAACTGGAGCCAGGAATGGCAGCACACAGGCAATTGCAATCCCAGCATTTGAGAGTAAGTCAGAAAGATCAAGAATTCCAGGTAACCTGGGTTGCATTGTGGGTTCAAGGCCAGTCTGGGCAGCTCAGCCACATCCCTTCTTGAAAAACCCAAAATGAATCTGGGAATTGGAGAAACAGGACAGGAAGGAAGCTGTTTGCTACATGTTGAAGGTGATCACCCCTGAGGTTAACACACAGACAACACCCATTCTTCCTCCTTGACAGGCATTTAATAGTCTTATTTCAGTTGGAAGCTGTGGTTGGAGAATAAGTTAGAGGAACAGACCAAAAAGAAATAAAGAAAAAAGAAAGAACTTAAAGTGCTTCAGGCTGCTAACGTAAACATGAGGGGCAGAAAGAGGCCACCTAGCTATATCCCCAACCCCTGAGACAGGAGAATCATTGTCATTGTCGGGGTCCCTTTACCACCACCACCCTCTAATCTCAGCCCTGCGGGTGGGTGGGAGGGAATTTCAGAGGCAGAGAGAACATAATGGGAATGAGAAAATACTCTGTAAACTGAGAACAAGGAACAAGGTGAAAGGCAGAGGGCAAGCAGCCCTTGCCTGGCCTGGGGTGGGGCCAGCCCCCCCCCCCATGAGAACTTGGGAAACACTGTTGGCTGAGCTGCAGCCATACAGCCCATTTCACAGCTTCTGCCCTCGTCCCTCACAGCAGACACAGACAGGCAGCCTGACCGGGCCTCTGCCCACAGTGAGAGGCATGGGAGGCACAGGCTGGGACCAAGGAGCCCTCCTGGGGCTTTGGGTTTCTGGAGTGAACGAAAGCTGAGCAGCTTGGTGCTACTTGACGGGCTCCACTACCAGGACTTTGCACTCTCGCTTGGCAATCTTATCCAGAGAAAGCACAGCCTTGTCTGGGGGCAGGTAGAGGGGACGGCCGACAGGGGAGGCCACAGGGGGGGTGATGGCCCTGCGCTCCATCACGCTGCCTGACCTGTAAGAAGACAGAGGCTGTGGGCTCGAGGGCACAGCATCCCTCTACTTCCCTTCTTGGCCAGGGCCACATCTGTCAGGTCCCTACCTCATGAGGTGGCTGCGGGAAGGCTGTTGGTGGGAGAAGGACTGCGAGCGGCCCAGGCTGGCCTGGTGCCTCTCCACCAAGTCCCGGACAGCAGGGCTGCTGGGGCTGCTTTTGCGGGACAGGGGCCGGGCCTCAGGCGGAGGGTGGGACACACTGGCAGTAAACTGGAGCTTCAGTTTCATGTGCTGGCTCAGCTGGGAAGACACGGATTCAGCATGGCAGCTGGCTGCTGGGCCCAGACCTTCCCACAGACCCGGGTTCGAATGGCTTTCTTCTTCCCTCTGCCCAGCTTTCTAGCAGTATCTAAGACCTTTCTCCCAAAGAAGCTAGGGGCCTTGACTTCTCCATCCAACACCAGGTCTACCTCAAAGAGCCCCGTCCTCAGGGCCTGGAAGGCCACACTGAAGGTAAGTGCGCTGCCCTTCCGGGAGAAGCCGAGGCTGTTGAGAGGCGTGTGGCAGACGATGGAGTCTAGGGCTGCTTGCATGGCCCGGCGCTCCTCCTCACACAGCTGCTTTCCTGGGGACAGAAACAAGCACACATGAACACTGGACAGCCTTCCTCAGCAAACACAGGCCTTCACCAGCACAGCTGTTTCGTCCACAAGTCACTCTGGAGTAAACAGTAAATGTTACCTTGTGCTGAGGGTTACAAGCAACAATAGCCAGTACTATAGGTTGAGGTCTGGTCTGACCATATTGTGTACTAACTCATTAATATACATAGAAACCCATGAGGTCATTTACTCAGTTTTACAGAGGATAGAAGCCCAGAGAGATGAAGTGACTTACCTAAGGTCACACAGCTAATAAATGAGCAAAGTAAAACTTGTATCAGAAAGCACAAGCCCAGTGTCTTTGCCCACGGTCTGTCTCAACTCTCCATCTGTGACCTTGGACAGCCAGCCATGTACAGAGCAGAGCTATCCAGGTGCCACAGACACCCACTGTGGTGGGGCTGGTACCAGATCTAAGCTGTTCTCGCTGTCCTACTTCCTGTTTCTTCCCTTCCCCTCCCAGGGGACAAGGTCTCAGCCTGGCAGGTGACCCACCAGCCTGTGCATGTTCCGGGGTCCACACAAGCCTCACTGCAAGGAAGTCTTGGAGATTGTTGAGCAACGTGTAGGTGACAGTGAAACGCTCGTAGGTCCGAACAGGGGACTCACAAGAAGCGGTCATCACAAAGCAGGGGCGGTCTAGGCGGACACTGGGCAGGCTAGGAGCAGTGAGAGAGGGAAGCTGGATGTGTGTGTCAGGCAGAGGTGAGCAGGAAGGTACCTGGAACATCTACTATATACTTACCGGTAGTGGGTATAGATGCTCTGGGTGAAGGGCAGCTTTGGGGTGGACCATTGAACCACAGCAATCAGGGGGACTTCAAGGCCCTACAGCAGGACAAAGATAGACTTCCCATGTTCCATTTTCTCTTAGGCTTGGAGCCTTTCCCTTCTGCTGTCTTTTCCTTGAGACTAGGTCTCATACAGCACAGGTTGACCACCAACCCCCTATATAGCTGAGGATGACCTTGAACTGATCCTCCTGCCTCCACCTCAAATGCTAGGATCATAGGTGCATATCACTGTGTCTGGTTTATGCAGTGCTGAGGGTAGAACCCAGGGCTTCGTGCATGCTAGGTAAGCACTCTACCACTTGAGCTACAGCCCCAGCTCCCACTGAGTTTTCTTACCCCATTCCCATGAGCACACCAGCTCACCTCCTTGGCCCCTGGAGGGGGCTGCTCACCCCCTCTCAGTTGAAACAGGAAGTTGTGTTCCTCCAGGGCACTAAGTGGACAGGGGAAGTAGCCAGAGGTCCCAGGAAGCCGACAGAAGGAGCCCATGGAGACTTCCCCAGATTGGTGACTAGTTCAGAAGAGAGGAGGGCAGGGCATAAGCTCCTCATGCCCCATCTCTGTTCCCACTACTCAATAGCCCTTCCCACTGATCCCCAGGAGCTCACCAGACATTGTCCACCAGCAGCACAGAGCCATCAGGCATGACAGGTAGGTAACTGGCATTGAAGTTGGGGAGGATTCGGATATCCCAGATGGAGATCTCCTCCTGGGAAGAACTGTTCAGCACTGTGGGAGCAAACCAGCCCAGCTCAGGGTAGTGAGACCTCCCTCAGGCCCTACCTTGGGCAGGCACAACAGAGCCAACCCTGAGTAACTAACTGCCCTCCAATCCATTCCCTTGCTGCTGCTCACCCTTGAGCACAGTCAAGTGTTTTCCAGCCACAGTGAACTGCCGGCATTTCAGAACCGGAGGGGGCAGCAGTGTCAGCAGGGTGCTCACTGCAGAGAGAGGATGAGGCAAGAAATCAGAACAGTTCTCACCTTCCAGTGTGGCCCCTCTAATCTACCTCCCCTCCAGGCTCCAGCCTTTGACACTCTCTTCCCCACCTTGAGCCTTGAAGGCACTCTGCTCTCCCCTGAAGGTCTCCCCAGGAGATCGGGTCTGAAGCAAGCGCAGGTAGCCTTGATCTCTAACTTCTGGTGCCTCAACCTCCCGCTTCCACACCGTCACTACAATCTAGGTACAGGAGACATCAGACCTCAGTCGTGAGGAGTGATCATCTGAATTATAGGGTGTCAGCTCCAGCTTTGTCATCCTACCTTGGCCTTGGGTGTCCCTGGGGGCAGTCTATCCAGTGAAACAGTGAGTGGGAAGATGACCTCATCTGTGGACACAATCGGTTCCTCCACAGGCAGCTAGGGATGTGAAAGGGGTGAAGAAGTTATGGGGGGCCTGGTTACTGGTGTCTTCAACCTCTCTGCAGGACAAGACAGGTCCTTACACACACACACACACACACACACACACACACACACACGGGTCATCTGCCCCCTTTCCTAGGTCCTTCTGCAAGACTGGACTCTCCTTTATCGCCCCCCCACCCCGGTCATCTGTCCCCTGTCCTAGGTCCCTCTGCAAGGCAACAGCTCTCCTTTACACCCCCCACGCCCCTACGTCATCTGCCCGCTGTCCTAGGCCCCTCTGCAAGACACGACACTCTTTCTGTTGTCCCTTTGCTGTCACCTGCCACTGGCCTGCAGTCCCTTAAGCGTTCATCTCCCAAACTGCCTCTAGCACTCCACCAAACCGCCCCTCAGCCCCGGTCACCCGGGGATCCTCACCGTGGTCGCTCCCCCTGAGGTAGCAGGGCCCGGGCCGTGGGTGAGAAGGGGGCTGCAGCCTCGGAACAAGCCCCCGCCCCCAGGGTCCCCTCCCCCAGGGGGCTCGGCGTCCGGGTCGCCCGAGCCACCGCCCCCTGGCAGCCCTCCTCCCGCGCTGACCGAGGCCAGGGCGGCAAGGGCGGTTGCCAGCTCCGTCCAGGCCCCCCGGGAAGCCAAGGCCGCGCCGCCCCCGACGCCGGACCCCGCGCCGCCCCGGCAGCGCAGCACCAGCAGGAAGCGGACCGTCTCCCCCAGGTACAGATGGTTCCGCCGGGGCAGCGCCCGGTACCGGCCCGGGTCCCCCGCCAGCTCCGCGCGCGGCGGCAGCGGTACCGCCGGGAAGTACATCGAATAGTCGCATTGGGACTCCATGGGCGGGGCGCGGTGCGGCCCCGAGGAGACCCGACCCGAGCAGCCCAACCTGCGGGAGCTCGGCCGGCGAGTCCCGACACCCGAGGTTGTGCTGCGCTGCCTGGCCGCGGAGACTCTAGCCGGGGCCGGAAACCAGGGAAACCAAGCCGGAACCCAGACCCGGCTGCGCCGGAAATAGGGCGCGGGGCTGAATGAGAGGAGAGAAACCGGAAGCTGAAGGGAAGGGGCGTGACCTCCAGGGTTCCATGGGTAGGGCGGGATCTGGATGCGGGCTGCCCGGGAGCTTGCAGGTCTGCTACTACAGACAGGCTTTTCTGGAAAGGATTTTTTCATTTTTCTTTGTTTCTCTCTTTCTCCTCTTTCTTTCTTTTTCTTTCTTTCTTTCTTTCTTTCTTTCTTTCTTTCTTTCTTTCTTTCTTTCTTTCTTTCTTTCTTTCTCCCTCCCTCCCTCCCTCCCTCCCTCCCTCCTCCTTCCTTCGTCTCCCTGTAGCCCCACCTGGCCTAGAACTCTGTATGTAGGCCAGGCTGGCCTCGATCTCACAGAGATCCACTCTCTCTTAACAAAGTCTCATGTAGATCAGGCTGGCTTCAAACTCCCTATATAGCTGAGAATGGACTCAAACATCTGATCCTCATACCTTCACTTCTCTGGTGCTGGGATTATAGGTATGTGCAACTAAATCTGTTTTATACGGTGCTGAGGATGGAGCCCAGAACTTCATGCATGCTAGGCCAGCACTCTACCAACTGAGTTACACCCCTTGCCTTCTTTATTCTGGGTTTCTGTTGTTGTTGGGGCATGTGTTACTGTGTAACTGGGCCTCATTATGTTAGCCAATCATACTACCACTGGGTTGTATTCCCCAGCCTGGAAGAAATATTGAAAGAACCTTTTCTGGCCCAATTTCTCCCCAAAAGATTCTCCTCCATCCCTCTCTTTCCTGAACCCTAGGTAACTCAAGTAAACATTTCATAGCATTTATTCATTCAACAAACATTTTCACAGTGAAATCAACATAGCCTTATAATATTTCAGAGAGAAATGGACATACAAGTTCAACTCAACCAAGCCCCAAACTTTCTCTGGCTCACTCCCATCTTTTGCTCCTCCAGGGGGCTTTCTGGGTACTGCTACATGAAGCTGCTATGGGGTGTGAGAAGGCAAAGTGCGTGGTGGAGGGAGGTACTGCGATCGTCCCACAAAAATGCCAGACAACTCCAGGATCACCTCAGGGCAAAGCTTCCATCCCTTCCAAGAAAAGCAGAGATTGCTCCCGGCACCCCCTCCACTCTGATCCCCACCTCTGTCATCACATGTGTCCTAATTTGTAGTTTGATGCCTATGGGGACAGTAGCCTTGAAGTCTTGAAAGGCTGGGAGACTGTAGGTGGAAACTGCTTTGCATCAAGTTTGTCCTTGTACTGTAGTTCAGGGGTAGCTAAGCGTTCACACTCCTCTTGATCTTGTGGGCTCAGTCCACTCTGAAGTACATAGCCCAAAACCTTAGTTGAACCAAACTGGAAAGGACGGAGCATTTTGTTGGTGATGTATTTGGGGTCTAAAGCCTCACCCCCTACCAGGCAATGTTTAGCCAGAGCTTCTCTGCGAGCCCGGAGCTCAGCCACAGCACGTTGTAGCCGTCTCTGGCCGTATTGCTCTATCCGTGCCCACAGACTACGGTTGAAGTGAATATAGAGAGCCCAGTCTAGGTTGTTCCAAGCTCGGGCCCGTGCATTCAGCTGCCAATCTTCAGCAGTCTGCGAGTTGTTGCCAGCAGCACTGAGCCTCTCCTCCCTCCCAACCTGGGCATTGTGCATGAAGCCCACCACATCATCCAGACCCCAGCACAGGGCATCTGCTAGCAGAACCAATGACTCATCGAAATACTCCGCCACCATGACCAGATCAAAGACAGAATCCAACCAGGCCAGACCCCACTGGATGAAAGACGAAGTCCCCAAATCTGAAGAGGCAGTGTTGACTGGCTGTGTATGACCATCAGCAACTGTGGTAACAGGCTGAACGAGAACCTTGGGATCTAGAATTTGGGATCCAGGGCCAGCACCGGAAGGCAAGACATGCAGCCGGAGGAAGTTGGAGTCTTTGGGAAGATGAAGATTTGCTCTCTTGGTCTTCAGTTCTGGGGGGAAGGGCAAGCCAAAGTCAAACCATAGTAAGTTGCGGGCGTAGTGGTTGCCATGGATCCCAGGTTGGTAGTAAGCTCGAGGATTGGACAGGAAGGCGGTCAAGGATGGTGCCTTGTGGAAGGCAGATGAAGTCAATTTATAATAGGAGAAGGCAGAACGGGCCAGAGCTGCTGGATCCCGGACAATGGAAAAGAAGAAGCTGTCAGATGGCATGACTTGAAGCACCTGCAGAGGAGAGCGAGTAGATGTGGGGAGAAAAAGTGATTGCAAGCTAAGAACCCTATGAATCCTCCGCGCTCTGCTGAGGACTCCCAGCTTCCCTCACCAGCTGTGTGATCAGACAAATTACCTAACATCTCAGACTGGGATTTGCTTATCTGCAAAAGGGAGGTAGGTAAAGGTTCTGAGGTAATTCCGAAGAATACCAGAGATAAAGATATTCAGAAAACTGGAACATGCAAAGCTCATGGAGAACATTAATTTCCTTGAATCTTTGTGGGTTTTTGTTTTCTTTTTCTGGTTGATAAAACCTCTCTCAAGCTTGTGGCTGGAGAGATGGCTCAGCAGTTAGAGCACTGGCCAGGTTCAGTTCCCAGTACCCATGTGGTGGCTAACAACCATCCATAGCTTCAGTTCCAGGGGAACCAATGCCCTTTTCTGGCTTCCATGGACATTGCACACACCTGATGCACATACATACATGCAGGCAAAGCACTGCATAAAATAAAAATAAATGTTCTTTAATTAAAAAGATCTTAATTTGTAGGATGTGTGTGATATGCGTGTTCATGACTGTGAATACAGGCACAGGTATATTGAGTGCCATGGTGCATGAGTGGAGGCCAGAGGACAAGCTTGGCTGTTGGTCTTTGCCTTCCACCTAGTTTGAGACATGTCTTTTTGTTGTTACAGTTGTGTACATTAGGCTAGCTGGCTTGTAGGCTGCAGGGAGTCTCCTGTCTCTACCATAGGAAAGTTAGGATTACAGGGGCATGCTACTCCATCCAGCTTTGCATGGGTTCTGTGGATCCAAACCCAGGTCCTCACACTTGCATGGGAAACACTTTACCCACTGAGCCATCTCCCCACCCTGTCAAAGCTCCTTAAAGAAAGTTTATTTGTATTTTTTCTCTGTAATTTTTAATCTCTTCTGTTACATATCTCACTGTTAAATCTTCACTCCATATCCACAGAATTAAATATATATATATTTAATTTTATGTGTATGAGTGTTTTGCCTGAATGTATGTATGTGCACCATGTCCATGCAGTGCCCACAGAGGCCAGAAGAGGGTATTGGATTCTCTGGAACTGGAGTTATGGACAGTTGTTAGCCACCATGTGGGTTCTGGGAACCAAACCTGGGTTCTCTGGAAGAGCAGCCAGTGCTCTTAACCACTGAGCCATCTCTCCAGCTCCAATATCCGTGATATTTTGATGGTCATTCATCCTCTGGCTGTTTCCTGCTTAGTGGAGGTGATGGAGAGTAAAATGTCTTGACATAATTAGAAAGGTAACTTTTTTATTTCCTTTTTGGTGGGAGGCTTAAAGACAGGTGCTGAGCATGGTGGCACATATCTTCAATCCCAGCACTTGGGAGGCAGAGGCAGGCAGACCTCTGTGAGTTCAGGGCCAGCCTGATTGACATAGTGAGTCCTAGGTCAGTTAGAGCTGCACAGTAAGACTCTGTCTCAAAAGCAACAACAACAAAACAAACAAAATAACAGGTGCCTTATTGCTGATTTGGGGGTCTGTTCATATAGTTTTCAAATGTATGGCATAATTGCTTAAGTCCCAAATAAATTTCTCTTAGCATCATTATGGGGATTGGTTCAGATTTTATTTATTTTATTCAAAGATTACATAATTGTGTATGTACCTACATATGCACAAGGAGGCCAGAAGAGAATGTCAGGTGTCTTCCTCTAACACTCTCTGCCTATTCATTTGAGGCATGGTTTTTCCCTGAACTTGGGGTAAGTGCCCTCTCAGCTAGGCTGGAAGCCAGCAAGCCCCAGTGCACCTCCTGTCTCTCCACCATTGGAGCTGGGGTTACAGGCATTGGCAGGGATACCCACCTTGTTACATGGGTTCTGGGATCTAAATTCCAGTTCTCATGATTGCAGAGCAAGAGCTCCTAACCACTGAGGCATCTCTGCAGCCCTGATCCTCATCCCAATTTTTAAAATTCCCTTAAGGATGGACTTATTGCCAAATGCCATCCTGAAAAAGAAAGGTAAGATGCCACAATGAAAGTCATTTTCTGAGGCAGAAATCTTCAATCTTCAGGGAATCTTTAAAGTGTGTGTGTGTGTGTGTGTGTGTGTGTGTGTGTGTGTGTGTATTCTGCTTGTGGAACTCTTTGAGTGATTGATTTTTTTTTTTTAATACAGGGTTTCCCTGTAGCACCATCTGGCCTGGAACTTGCTATGTAGACCAGGCTGTCCTCCATCTCAACGAGATCACCTGCCTTTGCCTCCCAAGTGCTGGAATTAAAGGTGTGTATCACCATGCCTGACTCTTATTTTATGTGTATTTTGCCTGCATATATGTAAGTGTACCATGTGTGCAGTGCCCATGGAGGCTAGAAGAGTTTGTTGGATCCCCTGAACAGGAGTTACAGATGGTTTTGAGCCACCATGTGGGTGCTGGGAACCAAAACCAGGTCCTCTTGCAAGAGCACCCAGTGCTTTACCGCTGAGCATTCTTTACAGCTCAGGGCAACTATTAATATATCTTCATGTAGACTGATAATGCAGGGCTGTGTTAGAGTATGGCTCAGCGTGATTCTCACTGTGCTTGAGAAGTAGAGACACATATCCCAGACTTCAGGGAAGCACCCTGCCAGTTTGCCAGGGCTCCCCAATGCTTTTAGTTCAGTAGGATCTTTTGTTCCACAAGCTCTTCAGGAATCTTAGAAGTATGTTGCCCTGCAGCCATCTTGGGCTGAGACAGCGCTACTGCTGCTAGTGGTGCCCCCCTCCTTCCATCCCAAGGAGCCCTAAGGCCGGTTGTTTTCTTGGAGCTGTGGCTAAGATTCTCAGAAAGGGCATGCAACAGGTTTTTGTGGTAGGCATGTTGGCACGCACCTGTAATTGGACTGCTCAGGAGGCTGTGTCAGGGGCATTGTGAGTTCAAGGTCAGCCTGGACTAGAGTGAGAACCTGTTTTTGTTTTAAATGAAGGGCTGGGGAGATGGCTCAGTTGGTAAAAGTGCTTTCCATGCAAGCACAAGGACCTGAGTTTGAGCCTTAGAAGCCATGTAAAAAAGCAGGCTCTTGTAATCCCAGCACTGAGGAGGCTGAGACAGGTGGGTCCCTGGGCTCTCTGGCTAACCAACCTAGTCTATTTGGTGAGTTCCAGGCCAATGAAAGACCCTGTCTTGAAAACAAAGGTAGATATTGCCTGAGGAATGACACTAGAGGTTATCCTCCAGCCTCCACAAGCAGGGGTGCACATAGGACCTCCCCATACACCTGTGCATATATGCACAAAAACCAAATACAAGTAGATTTTTGTTGAAAAGTTTGGTTTGTAGAGGTGTGTGTATGTGTGTGTGTGTGTGTTGTATATGTGATAGGTTTGTAAATGTGCATGCATGTGTATGTGTATGTGTATGTGTGTAGAGACCAGAGGTCAGTATCACTCACTGTACCTTATGTTTTGAGACTGGATCTCTCACTGAACTTGGAGCTCACCAGTCAAGATACACTGGCTCTGAACTCAGGTACACACATACACATACACATACACACACACACATCCCCTACAAATTAATATCTTTTTAAAAAATATTTATTATTTTTATTTTATGTGTAGGAGTATATTGCCTGCATGTATATGAGTGCACTTGTGTTGTGCAATGCTGTGGAGGTCAGAAGAGGGCTTCGATTTCCCCTGGAACTGGAGTTAGGACAGTTTGTAGCTGCCATGTGAGTGCTGGGAACTGAACCTGGGTCCTCTGCAAGAGCAGTCAGTGCTCTTAACCACTGAGCCATCTCTCCAGCCCCAAGTTAAGATCTTTTTAATTAAAGAATATTTGTTTTTATTTTATGTGTATGAGTGTTTTGCCTGCATGTATATATGTGTACCAGGTGTGTGCAGTGCCCACAGAGGCAAAAAGAGGGCATCAGATCCCCTGGAACTGGAGTTATGGATGGTTGTTAGTCACCATGTGGGTGCTGGGAACTGAACCCGGGTCCTCTGAAAAACCAGCCTGTGCTCTTAACTGCTGAGCCATCTCTCCAGCCCCATTAAGTTTTTTTTTTTTTTTTTCTTAAGGAGCTATGTATTGCCTTGACTGAATGTTTTTTGATCTACTTCACTAATATAGGCATGCCCAGAGGGCAGAGCCTTTGAACTCCCTTCCTTCCTTCCTTCCTTCCTTCCTTCCTTCCTTCCTTCCTTCCTTCCTTCCTTC